GGGACAGTTGAGGGAAAAAGAAAGGTTACTTACCTGTAACCATGGTTCTTCGAGTGGACCTCTGTGAATTCACACTACCCACCCATCCTCCCCTCTGTCGTCATGGGTATCTTATTGTTGTATAACTCTCGTGCCCGGCGGACAAATTGCAGGAACTGAGGGGAATCTTGGGTGGGAGGAGCTTGTGCCTCATGGGGGGATCATCCCATAAAATTGTTACTTTTAGCTCTAGAATGCTCCGAGAATGTCAGCGCAGGCGCAGACTAAACCCATATGTGTGAATTCACAGAGGTCCACTCGAAGAACCATGCTTACAGGTAAGTAACCTTTCTTTTTCCCTCAACTGTCCCTTTTGACCACACCCCTCCTGTCCTATCATTGGCTCCTCCCTTTGGAGCTTTTATGATAGACCGACAGGAGTGACGTCATGTGTTGGCATTTTGCCACAGCTACCAACATGAATTTGACCCAACTCTGGGAGGCAGAGGAAGACAAGAGGGCCTGGCGTGCTCTGGTCCATGGGGTCACGAAGAGTCGGACACGACTTAACGACTAAACAACAACACAGTAAGTATACAAATATTTTAAAGAATCAAACAAATATCACACTTAGGCCCTTGCCACACAAGGGAAATGTTTTCTAGTTATTCCGATACTTTCCATACCTCTGTTGCACTGAATCATGGCCACGTGGTTTATGTCACAGGAGAAACGTCCCAATTTATTCCTGCATCTTTGAATTGTTATGGCTGGCTGCACCATGGTACTGTACTAGTTTATTTTCTCTCTTGCTTCAAGGAGCAATTTTGCCCCTTGATATATTTATCACTACATCAATATTTATCACTACATCAATATATCAGAAACAAGTCTCCAAGGTGTATGACTGTGCAAGTGCGCTTGACTCCAACCTCCTCTGCATAGCTTTCCTCCTCCCCTGTGCACCTACAGCTATCATTTCGAGCCCCTTTAGTTCCTGTCGTAACAGAACCCCACATGAGGGGGCGGACTTACATACAGAGCATGGAAATTAGAGGGAACATTGATTGGAAAGCAGTTTCTGTTTTAAGGAAGTGTCCCTCCATTGCACTGGCTGCTCCTGCAGAAATGCATTGCACACGTTGGACTGGAGATATCCACAGAGCAGTACTGGTGATCGCTGACATTGGCATATCAATGTTTCAATGTATCTTCCAACAGGAAAGAAAAAAAATATTACTCCCCGTGATTGGGTTCTTTGACTAAAGTAGGCGGGCCCAGAGATTCGGCGGGAATGACAGCAGGAGTAGACGTTACAGTTCCAAACGGTTTAGTTTTATTATTTTTAACATCAGATAACTCAGGACCAAACGGGTCTAACAATTCTGCATCAGTCAACAAGTTATATTTTTTGGGTTTAACAACACTACCCACATCTTCAACTCTTATGGTGTCTTCACCCCAAAAAGGGGGGTTATGTTCTGGTTCATTACGGGAGTGCTCAACACCACACAAGTTGTCCCGCAACAGGGATGTTTCACGACGGAACCCTCCAGCCTGGGTAGAAAGGGGCTGACCCCATAAGGGGTCTCCTAATCCTCCGAGGGTTGGGTAGTCGAACCCGCTTCCCGATTCCATCCCTTCTTCCGCTCACCTGCTCCAAGCTTCTTCAGTTCTTTAGGTAAAGGTAACAGTCCCTCTTCTTTCATGAGATTAGGGAAACTCTTTACTAACTTAACTATCTTTTCTCTTTCGGCTCCCGTTTCTTCTGTCTTTACCTCTCTATTCACCCCAGGCAGTCTGACCCCTCTTTCTTTTCCCTCCTCTTTTATATCATCCTCCCATCTCCACTCACCAAACTCCTCCCCCCAATCTCTAGACCTCTCTGCCAGGAACACTTCTACTGCCTTGTTAATTCTGCCTTCTTCCTCATCCAATTTAATCAGTTCCCCCACCACACAACCTTCGCTTTCTTCCATCGTTTTCTCAAGCGAGAACGGCTCACTCCTGTTCTTCTGCTCGCACTCCCCACTAATGTAATGGCAGTGACATTCTTTTACCAAAAATTATGAAAAAACATTTTTAAAAATAATATGCATGCTGCAACACCACAGCTACCTTCCTGGCTTTGATTCTGAAAAGAAGCAGGGCAAACAAGTGTAATTTTTTCAATTCCGGTGATCCCTTTTCTAGATAAGAAAAAGCAGCCTTAAAACCAGGATGGGCAAAAGAAACTTTCAGAACACTGATGGATTTTTTGTGGGGGGAAGGGTTGAAAAAAATGTTTTTTCCACTTCTTAAGGACTCCAGCAGCAATGATTTTTATATTATGTAGGTTGGGGACCAGAAACCCCAAACCTCCAAAAAACCGAACAAATTGAAACCAGAAGTGGCTGGAATTTCCCCTCTCCTCCTATTTTAAGTGTACAGTGGTGCCTCGCAGAACGAGCACACCGTAGAGCGATGAATTCGCTCTACGGTGACGCTTTTGCGATCACTAATGCGATCGCAGAGCGATGGCCCCAATGGGCGAAAATCGCAGAGCGAAGGTCGGTAAGCGGTTCGCTTACCGACCTTCGCTTTGCGACCCGCCAATCAGCTGTTCCGTGGCTTCAAAATGACCGCCGGAACAGCCGAAAGGGCTGGGCGCAGCGTTTTCGCGCCCTCCCCTCGCTTACCAAGGGCGCGAAAATGGCTGCCGGCCATAGAGGAACATTGCTGTATGGTGAGTAAATCAGCCGATTGGAATGCATTAAACTAAGTTTAATGCATTCCAATGGCTTTTTTCTTTCCGTACAGCGATGTTTCACACAGCGAGGGTTAATCCGGAACAGATTAACCTCGCTGTGCGAGGCACCACTGTACATTGTACTGGCTGGGTGCTAGGAGCAAAAAGTTGCCCACTCTTGCCCTCCACTCTGACCCACAAGCCCTCCTGGTCATTTACTTTGAACACTCTGGCCATTCTTCTCAGTGCCATTATATGCTGATACTGGAGAGCTTGGTTGAGGTAAAAGTCTTGCCAAACCAAGAACTACCAGCAGGACAGCCCTGAAGATGCTTCTATCAGCAACCTGGTCCAGAGCACAAATGACCAGTCGACCTGGGCTGGCTCAGAACCGTGTTGCTGCAGCAACCAGGTAAACAGACCAGGCTCTGGAATCCAGCAAAGCAACTGCTAACTTTTGAATGAAAACTAGTCTAAGTTTTCATAGGGCTCAGGGGTGATTGTAGGCTGAGCTGCTAGCTGCTTTCCTGGCCTGGCTACTGTGCCTAGAAGTAGCAGCCTGACTTTGAGTAGCCTTCTTTTGAGAACACTTGCAAAGCTGCCACAGGATCATGTTAACTTCTCACAAACACAAAACACCAGATCCCTTTAACACCAGATCCCTTTTGCTTCCCTTCTCAGCATCCTGGGCCACTTTGCTGTTCTTTTTCACTTTCACTACTAGCCCACCAGGAAAGTTAATCCCCTGAATGAAGGCTCCTAAGACAGCAGTGGTTGATCCTAGATATGTGGGCTGGGCTTTTTCCCACCATGACTGGCAAGCTTCCAGTAACCCCCAGGATTTCCATCCTCCCTTCTACATCCCATTTCTGAAACTATCCCACATCACATACCATGCATTAAGGAATACCCATTATAGGAGGGAGTGTGACTTGGGTTTTTTTTAAGTTTCCTAATGTCTGTGGCCAACATTAAAGAGCTTTGATCAGGCCTGACTCAGCTAGTGGTATAGTCTTGAAGAAAGATGCAACTGTCTTTCCAATCAGCATTTGGACATGTGATGGAACTCCATCTTGTTCTTTTTGACACTCATTTAGGTCAGTCTGAGATGTGGAACAGAAACATAATTGCCATAAAGCATCTGATGGTGCACTTCCTGGTAATATCCAGGGTCAGTGCAAAGGGGTAGGATCTGGTTTGTGGCTGATCCCACAAAAAGTAATGTGAATCCATGGCCCGGATCCACGTTTTTCTTCCACTCCAGAATCATACACAGGACTCATAATTTCTGTGTTACATTCTGCGAATGGGGCCTATGACTGCACAGTGGTTTGGAGATGCCCTTACATCAAAATCATGAGGATCTGTGCCTTGGATCCATATTTTTGTACCACTGGAAAGCCATGCACTGAGGGACCCATGATTTCTGTATAGTAGTCTACGGGTACAGAGAGGATCCAAGATCTCACAGTTGTGCAGAGAGGACTGCATCTCCCCCCCCCCCCATAGGCATCCTTCAGTCTCAAGAGACTATGGTAACATGCTCTGAATCGAGGAGTGTCCTCTCCAGAACATGAAGCCCGGGTAAGGTAATGTGGAGGATAGGCTGTTACCCAACCAGCAGATCCCCCCTCTCCACATTGCTGAAATGATCCAATGGAAAGGCAAGAGCCAATACAACTGGTTCCAGCAATGTCGCAGGAGTTGGCAGAACGACACATGCTGCCTTCGGGACTCCAGCTCCGGATTTTGCCTCGAGGTTAACTCCTGAAGCCTTTTCCATGAGTGGATATAGCCACAAGGCAGTGGAGGTTTGAAATCGGAGTTTTCCTTCTCCTAGATGGGCTGCCTTCCATGGCTGACAAGCCCCACCTACCCGGCGGACTGCATCTAAAAATAATGAAATGAGGGTCTGTGCCTTGGATCCAGTATTTTCTCCCACTGCAAAGCCATGTGCCAAGGGATCCATGAATTTTGTCCTTATTTTGCTGAATGGTTAAGCTGGAGCTGATCCCACATAAAAATCATATGAAATGATGAGGATCGGTTCTTGACTTCATGGATTTGCCTGTTACTTTCTTCCTCTTTTTTTCCAACCTAACCCATAGCTTTGTGGTAGCAGCCTGATGACGACGAGTCGCAAGGCGTCCAGCAGTTGGCGGACCAACCCCCAACCTCCGCCAATCTACAGGTTCTAGAGTTCCGATAGGTGGCGCAGACGCCACTTGAGCTTCTCCTTCTTCCCTCAGGTCACGTTGGCGGGAGCAGACTAGTCATGTGGTTTACGGCCGCTGCTTGCGTGGTGATGTCAGACGCCGTTAGGCGCCGCCGGCTTGGCTAACCGCCCGCCATCTTGGCCCGCTTGGTGTGGAAGCGGCTCTAGCGGTTGCTTCGGCCTCGGTAAGTGGGAGCTTAAGGCGGCATTCCAATAGAATAGCGTCTAATGAAGAAACGGAAAGGCGTATGAAAGCCCGCCATAGCCGACCGTTGAAAAAAGCCGGTGGGGGTTACCAGGCCAGGGCGGGCTGCGGGCCTGAGGCGCGGGTGGTGGGCCCCGGTCGGACTTGAGAGCCGCCGAGGAGGCGGCGGGAGATGGAGAGGGAAAGGGCCGTCTCCCCACCCCCACGCCCATTCCTGAATTGGGCCTTTGAATTCTTTCAGGCGGGCTGGAAGGGGATCTCCCCGTTCCCGTGCGGAGTCCTAATTGCTTGTCGGGTGGGACAAAAGGGGAGGAGGGGGATGGAGGAACTGGAAACTTTTTTTTTTTAAGACCCGATATTTCTGGTTTTAAAAGTTTAGGCGCCGTTTCCTGTCTCCAATTCTTAAGCCGCCTCCATTATTCTTTTTACTCCCATCTTCTCTTTATTCTTAACTTCCGGTGCGTCTCTCCGGGTTTCTCTGGTATGAGAGAAATGAGTAACTTCCATGACTAAGCCGGGCCTAGAGTTGCTCAAGGCTGCTGTTCTGGAATGCATCGTTAGTTTGAGAGTAAGCCCTATTGATCACAGCGAGACTTGATTTTGCATGAATATTGGAAATATCAGGGTGTCAGTTGCTATAGCGGGGAGTAGACTCCATCGCATACAGAGGACGTATTTATAAGTGAAGTAGTAAATAGAATAAGAATTCATTTTGGGAAGTGTGAATTTGTATGATGCCTGGCACCACTAGGCGTCTGTTGAGGTTGCGGGTGGTGGGGGGAGAGATTTGCCCACAATCTAAGGATAACTTTTCATGTGCTCGGAAAATGTGGTGAGTGATTTTGATCTGTAAAGTGACATACTCCTCCATCGAAACCTGGTGTTTAAAACACTGATAAAAACACTGGCTTTTATCAGTGCCATTCCTTTATGGAAATGCTTACTCTTTGGTTCATATGTATAAATCACAATTTAAAATTTAAAAATCTGAATTTTTTAGTTTAAATTTTAAAAATGTTTTTTAATTTAAATTGTGAATTTTTCTTTTTGAAAATCATTGATTTTTATCCAATCTGAGATATATCCACCCATCATCCATCATTAGTAATTTTTATTCTGGCACAGTGTAGAGATAGATTCTGACATTTGCTGAGGAGATTATATAGGTAAGAGTGTTCAAAATGAAGCAATCATGCTCAGACCATTGCTGGATGGAAGCAAATGGGATCCCAGTTAATTTAATCAATTTGAATAAGAACCTCCTAACAGTATATTTGCAGTTTTTTTGCTTGCCTTGACAGCCAAGCCTTTACTGTCCTTAGGAATAGGTTCCTCCACTTCCACTGATTGACCTATTATTGTGCCTTTGCACACATTGAGAATCCAGAACAGTCTTTGCTCTCTTTTCAAGTTGACAACTGAAAAAGTACTTGTGTTGCACTGCAGGATCATTATCAAAGCAGTCAACAAGAACTGGATATGGAAAGAATGTAGGAGTTTGATTTCTTCTGTGCTGGTGAGACTTTCCTCTCAACCTGGGATCTGGATTGCTACATAACCATGTGAAGAGTCTACATAATACGTGCACCTATGCAGTTCCATTGTTGGGAGAGAAACTGCAGTTCTCGTCCTAATAATAATTGTAGCATTGAATAATTTAGCTTAGAGAATTTCAGAGTATAGCAGGATTACCATGATATCTATTTCCAGTTTTGTTAGGGAGAATCCTCTACGGTGGATGCTTTGGATGTACAGTAACATCCATAAATTCCTTCTGCTGCCTTACTCAAGGACTCTGTGGTTTAAGTTCATCCCATAATCTGTAGGATGAATTGCGTGTAAGGCCCAAACTATTGTTCATCCTTATGTGAATAATTTTTGTGCATATATTCATTCTCATCTTTTGTGCTGTTTTAATCAGTTATTCTACATTGCTAGAAACCAGAAATTACAATTAAATTTCAATCTATTTGCAGGACTACAAATCCAAGATTCTAGATCTACATTTATTATCCAGTTAAAGCAAAGCATAGCAGGAAGATTGGTGAGAATGCATGACCATAGCTAGATAATACATGTGAATCATCCTTGTAGTCTGCAAACTTTTTTTTTTTAAATCTCTGGGTAAGCAATTATTATGTGGCTAACAAATGGAGAATGCAGCTGGTGGTACCCAAATGCTATTGCCATTGTGATCATTGACCTGCACTCTATTGTTCGGAGCATGTTGACCATTATTCTGCCTTCTTTAGGTGCAATTAGGTGAAATAAAATATATTGAAGTCTTATTTTTAATGTTTTCAGGCTTCATGGTCTTTTCATCTTTACAGAACTGTCCGTCTTCTATACAATAAGTGTTAGTGTCTTTACTGTTATATGTGTTTTCTTTTATTACCCCTGAGTAACATCTAGATAGTTGATAATATATTTCTTGCTCTTTGTATATTTGTAGTACTGACGCTTCTGAAAAACTGAAATAAGGCAGTGTTCTTCCTGTTTCCCCACTGAGCACAGAAACATTTGTAACAAGAGATTTGTAAGGAACAACTCTTCAACCATTTGCTTTTCCAGTGCTTAATTTCCCCATTTGTAATGTAAAAAGTATCCATGTGATTACCTTTTAAGAGAACTCCTGATACTTCTTGAATCAAGAAAATACTCCAATACAACTCAATATGTAGCATATAATGTCTACAGAGATAACTTATGGGAGTTTGCTTTTAAAAGTTTGCATAACTGTGTAACAAGACTCCACACATTATGTGAATTATGATATTCTAATAGAAAGAAGTGGGAAAGATGTTTCTTACAGGAAAACAATTAGCCTATGTAAAGGAATTAAAACGGGAATTTTGGAGTTTAGGGTAACCAGTATATGGATGATACCCAGCTCTACCTCTCCTTGCCATCTAAATCTGAAGGTTTGTTTTGCTAGAGAATAACGAGTTGGAAGGGGCCTATAAGGCTATTGAGTCCTCAGTGCAGGAATCCAGATCAAAGCAGATTTGGCAGATGGTTGTCCAATTTTCCCTTGAATGACTCCAGTGTTGGAGTGCTCACCACCTCCAGATGTAATTGATTCCATTGTTCTGTTCTAACAGTTAAGGAGTTCCCCCCACTGATATTCAGCCTAAATCTGCCTTCCTGTAGCTTGAGTTCATTATTATGTCTCCTTAACTGTGGGATGATTGAGAACAGATCCTGCCCCTCCTCTATATGACTGTCTTCCAAGTATCTAAAAAGTGCCATCATATTTTTCCTCTGTCTTTTCCCCCTCAAGGTTAAACATGCCAGTTCTTTCAGTCCTTCCTCATAGGGCTTAGTTTCCAGTCCCCTGATCATCCTTGCTGCCCTTCTCTGAATTTGCTCCAGTTTGTTGGCATCCTTCTTAAAGTACGTTGTCCAGAACTGAACACAGTACACAATATGAGTCCTAGCCAGTGCCAAATAGAGAAGAGATAGTATTTCACAGATTTGGAGACTATACTTCTGTTAGTGCAACTTAAAGTAGAATTGTCTTCTTTTGCAGTTAAATCACACTGTTGAATTATATTCAGTTTGTGATCTACAATTCTAAGATCCTTCTCACTCACAGTATTAGTGAGTCAAGTATCCTCCATCTTGAAACTCCATTTGTTTTTTTTTTTTCATCTAAGTGTTGAACTTTGCACTTTTCCCTGTTAAGTTTCATTTTGTGGTTTTCAACCCAATGCTCAACCCTATCAAGGTCTTTTTGAATTTTGTTCTTGTCTACCAAGGTATTGGCTATTCCACCCAATTTTGTATCATTCATAAATTTGGTAAGCATTCCAACTCCTTCGTCCGTCATTATTAAAAATGTTGAAAAGCACTGGATCCACCACTAAGCCATGTTACCTCCTAGTTACCTCCTCTCAGTTTGAGAAGGAGCTATTGATGAGCACTCTCTTGGGTACCATTCTGTAAACAACTGTGATCAGTGTCCAGTAATGAACTGGATGAGAGTGAATGAACTAAAACTTAATCCAGACAAGACAAAGATGCTCCTGGTTAGCTGAAAGGCAGATCAAGGAACAGGGATTCAGCCTGTGTTTGAATGGGATTACGCTCTCTCCGAAAGCACAGATGTGCAGCTTGTAGATGCACTTAGATTCATCTCTGAGCCTGGATGCCCAGGTTTCCGCATTGTCCAGGAACATGTTTGCACAATGAAAACTAGTGCAACAGGTGTGCCAATACCTGGCGAGATCTGATCTGACCACAGTGACACATGCCTTAGTTACGTCCCAACTGGATTACTGTAACACACTCTACATGGGGCTTAGTATAGAAAGTGTCAGGGAACTTCAACATGTCCAAGGCACAGAGCCAGATTGTTAACGGGCTGGTCACAGGGATCACATAACCCACTTACCCCTGGTTAGAGCAGCTGGACTGCCTCCGTTTCCGGGCACAATTCAAAGCGCTAGTTCTAGTCTGTAAAACCATACATAGCTTGAGTCCAAGCTGTCTCATGGACTATTTCTCCTGTTAGGAGCCTTCCTGGGTGTTAAGATCACCAGGAGATGTATTTCTCTCAATCCCAGTACCGTCACAGGTGCATTTAATGGAGACACAGAAGAAGGCCTCCCAGACTTTGGAACTCCCTCCCAAAGTGGCCAGACTTGGCCCCATCTTTGCTGTCCTGCAAGCAGGCAAAGACCTTGCTGTTCAGGCAAGCTTTCCCTCAGTGACTGACTGCCTGAGTGGGATTTTTAAATGGATTATTATGCATTACTGCTTTGACTGTGGCTTTAGTATTGCATTTGTTTACCATTTCTCAGTGGTATTTGTTCCTTTTTAATATTTGCATACTTATTGTTTTTAGCTTTAAACATTGTCTTTTATTGATGTAAGTTGCCTTTGTATACTCATTGTTTTTAGTTTTACATTCAGTACCACCCTGTATCAGCTGGATCAGTATCCGCTGATTTACTTATTCAGTCTGAAAATATGAAAAATATTAAATGAAAATACTTATAAATATGGATTTTCAAGATGTATTGTCGAAAGGAATCAAATGGTATGTTATATAGGAAAGCCTCCTCCATTTTACTTAGTCCTGGCAGCTTTCTTCCAGAGTAGTGTTGTAAAATTCAGAGCCGGATTGGCTGGTGAGGCAGGAGGAGGGGCAGTAATGTAAGCCAAACTTCCTACCTTCCAGCTAGTTCTTTCCTCAATATTTCCAGGCAAACAAGGAAATGGATTCTTAATTGTCTTTGAAGAAAACCTGCAGAGCCATTGTATGTGTGTGTGTGTGTGTGAGAGAGAGAGAGAGAGAGAGGTCATAATTCTTCAGCACAGTAATGAGAGAAGGTTTTAACTTGACTCTTACTCATAGAGGCCTTTTCAAGATAAAAATTACAGGTACTGGGGAGTCCTGGGTCCAGCAGACTGTTAGCTATAGTCTGTGCTTTTCACTATTTGCAGGGGGAGGACTTGGAATAAAGCCCCCACATATATGGGTGTCCTACTGTATTGTGTTTTAATGACATAAGTCCATATACCACGTCATGTAAAAAAGAGCACCTTGTTTAAATTCTGTGATTTTAACATATCTCAACACAATAAAAATCATCTGGTCATTAGCAGGTTTGAAAATTAAGTAAATACAACCTGAAATGAACAACACATGACATGTGTATTACACTGTGTTGTGAATTATTTTACATTAAAAAAGCAAAACTGGAGAAGCTATGTATGAAAACCTAAGTAAACTTAATGATTCAGTAGCTTGTAGAACCACCGTTAGCAGCAATAGCTTGAAGTAATCATTTTCTTTATGACTTTATCTGTCTCTCACATCATTGTGGAGGAACTTTGGCCCACTCTTCTTTTCAGTGTTACTTCAGTTCATTGAGGTTTGGGGGCATTTGTTTATATACAGGTGTCTCAAGATCCTGCCACAGCATTTCAGTTGGGTTGAGGTCTGGACTTTGAATGGGCCATTGCAACACCTTGATTCTTTTTTTCCCCAGCCATTATGTTATAGATTTTCTGGCATACTTGGGATCATTGTCCTGTTGCATGACCCAATTTTAGCCAAGCTTGAGCCATTAGACAGATGGCCTCACATTTCACTGTAGAATACTTTGGTATACAGGGGAGTTCATGGCTGACTCAATGAATGACTTGAAGGTACCCAGGTCCTGTGGCTGCAGAACAAGCCCAAATCATCACTCCTTCATCACCGTGCTTGACATTTGATATGAGATGTTTGTGCTGATATGCTGGGTTTGGTTTTCACCGAATGTGCATTATGGCCAAACATTTCCACTTTAGTTTCATCTGTCCAAAGGACATTGTTCAATACAGTGGGGTCTTGACTTGAGAACTTAATCCGTATTGGAAGGCGGTTCTCAAGTAAAAAAGTCTGTAAGTCAAGTCTCCATTGACCTACAGTGCATTGAAAACCGATTAATCCCGTAACAGGCTGTTTTTGTTCCATTTTGGTTTTTTTCTGGTCTGTAAGTCAAATCTCAGTCTGCAAGTCAAACCTAAATTTTGCGGCCAGAGAAGTCTGTAACTCAAAAAGTCTGTAAGTCAAGCCGTCTGTAAGTCAAGGGTCCACTGTAAGTCTTATGCTTTGTCCAGATGCAGCTTGGCAAACGTAACCCGTGCTGCCATGTTCTTTTTAAAGAGAAGTAGTTTTCTCCTGGCAGCTCTTCCAAACAAAACATACTTGTCTTTTTTTATTGTACTGTCATGAAGTTTAGTATTTCACGTGTTAACAGAGGCCTGTAGAGTCTGAGAAGTAATTCTTGGGGGGGTTGCAATTTTTCTGAGCATTTCATGTTCTGACCTGGGATGAATTTGCTTGGACATCCGCTCCTAGGAAGATCAGAAGCTGTCCTGAATGTTTTCCGGTTGTGAATCTTCCTCAGTGTAGAATGATGGACATCAAATTGCTTGGAAATGTCCTTATAACCCTTCCCAGATTGATGGGCAGCAACAATTGCTTCTCTATTATCATTGCTGATGTTTCCTCTTTGGCATTGTACACACACCTGAATGTTCCTGACCAGC